CTCCACACCCATGCTTCCTGGGCTCTTCCTGGAAGTTATTTGTGAACAGTTCCTGTACATATCAGTGGTCAGGGTCTCTCTCCCAAAGGATAGTCTTTGGCAGAGGGGACAGAGTTCTGAGTTCAGGGAGTTAATGTTCCAGAAGCATTTCTCACCTGGTGATGGTAGATAAATACTCAGGCATCCTCACTTCAGATGAGGAAACTTTGGAAATTTCTCTCAGAAGGTCTCTAAATGGGCTTGAACGTCACTCACCGATCAGAGTAACTCACACATCAACATACTCTTTATTGATGTCATTTTTTTTTATCTCACTTCACTACTCTTGGGCTTTTTGGGGCCATTTCTGAAATAAAGTACACATATCTAGGTTTTCCCCCTAAGAGTCTGTTGGCAGAAAACTAAGAATTACCACAGTAAGCATTCTAAGTTTTATTATTAGCATGTTGTTGTTATGTGCCATCAAGACTCTTGTGATTCTTAGCAAACTTATCTATGAACAACATCCCTAAATCCTGCTCTATCCTGTGCCAATCTTATTGTCTCTGACACCCCCACCCCCATTACCCCAGTCACTGAATTAATCCATCTCACCGAGGATCTTCGTCTCCTGCACTGTCCCTCCACTCTCCCAAATATGACATTCCTCTCCAAGCACTGGTCCCTCCTTGCAACATGTCCAAAGTATGTCAGACGAAGCTTCAGAATCCTTGCCTCCAAGGAGCAGCCTGGTCTCATCCTCTCCAGGATGAACCTGTTTGTTTTCTGAGCAGTCTGCGGTATATTCAATACTCTTCTCCAACACCACAGCTCCAAGGCATCAGTTCTCCTTCTATCATCCCTACTCATTGTCCAGCTTTCTGATGCATAGCAAATAATTACTAAGACTATGGCCTGGATCAGGTGCACCTTAGTTTCCAGACTGACACCATTGTTCTTCAGTACTTTGGAGAGGTCTCCAACAGCAGAATTTAACAGTGCAATTAGTCTTCTAATTCTCTGGATGCTGGTATAAAGAGTGTTGATTATGGAGCCAAACAAACAAAACTCACTGCCATCCGGTTGGAACTACCTCATAGCTGACCTTCCTGTGGGTTTTCAGAGGCTGTAGATTGGATGGGAAGAGACTGCCCATCAGTCTCCTAAGTAGCAGTTGGTAGATTTGAACTTTTTGCCTTTGGGTTGGTCTCTATGCACCAGGCCACTAGAATGAGCAATAGTAATTAAATAATATCACACTGTTCTTGAGTGCCTGCGAGTCGAGCACGACTCATAGTGACCCTATGAACAAAAGGCCTGAAGTCCCTCTACAAATATCGACATTTATCAAAGTTCATAGAATTTCCAGAGGCATGTTTTTAGGAAGAGGATGCCACTCCTGCTTCCAAAATATCACACTAAAGTAATATATTTATTTGGCTTGAAAATATAACTCAAAATGTACTTGCTTCAAGGCTTGAACTGATCAACTTTCATGTGCAATGTGGATTTCCTCCAGCTACTTTCACAAGATATCACCTGCTTGCCTGTTTACCTACTTCCAACCCATCATTTCTGTTCCTGGAATCTTATCACTCATTCCTTGATGACACAGAGCTGTTCATTTAGTCAACTTGACCAAGATATCTGAATTCCCTGAGTCGTTAACGTTATTAGAAAGATTCTGTCCTTCCAGCACTTGATACTGAGCACATTTATCCAGTGGGTAATGGGGACACAATCATAACTCAGTCTGATCCATCTGTCTAATTCTGTAGGGTTTTTTCTTTTAAATCAATCTTATTGTATTCAAACTAAGACCCTTCTATGGAATGACTCTACTTCCTGTAGAAAAGGCAGCCACACCATCTTTTAGTTTCCTGCAATAACTCAGTGCACTCTCTAGACTGGACCCCCTATTCCTTAGTTAGGTGGTTCATTCTCTTTGCTCCCTGTTCCCTATTTCCTCTCCATATTCTGCCCAGCACAGCCAAAAGCACCTTGTACTTTCTTCCATGCCCTGAAAAGCTTAGCAGACCCGAGTGGGAAGGAGCTGCCCCACCTTTCTCTCATACAATGAATCGCCTCAGCCACCCAATGAATCGCCTCCTTTCATATCCAGAATTCCTAGACTATGTCGTTAGATTTTCACCTTTGAAAAGCTCTAGAAGAGAAACTGACTTTCCATGCACAAGGGCCTCTTCAGCTTTATAGGATACATGCTTATGCCTTCCTTCTCAAAGAGGTACAACACCGTCTTCTTAGCCACACCTTGTCTAGCCCATGTTCTTCACGTTATTGGTAAACATTCTTAGATACATTCAGTGCCTTTGGGACGGGGAAATGGAATGGGAATCTTTGACAATAAAACCAACTTTCCTTGCTCTTGGGAATCCAGGACGATTGAATAACTAGTCCTCAGTACCTACATCATGGTCTTACACTGTTTATAACCTTCAGCAATGGAAACATTTGTCTTCCTTTGGGTCATCATGATGTTACCCACCTGCAATTTTATACCAAGTCACCCACAGTCCTCAGGATCATAAAGGGAAGTGTCTTCAAGAAACCAAACCCAGGAAGTCACCACCGTTTCCAATAACACAATGGGGGAAAGGCAAACATTTATTTATTTTCTTTTTTATTTGCAAGTGCATTTTCTGCCAATAGGTAGTGCTCACAAAACCTTTTAAGCTACAGTAACTTTTGGTAAACTCAATGATGCCTTAAAAAATACCCAGTGATAAGAAAGGTACAGAAAAAATTTCCATTCAACTGTCAAAAATGTTGGGAATCCAAAATCCACTATTTTCTGCAATGGTTATTAATATTTATTCTGATTAAAAAGGCTTTTTTTCTTTTCTTTCTACTCCTACATAGTCCGGTTTTAATTGCTTTAATCTGTCTCACGAACTTTTAAGACTGCCATTATTTCTGGATTTTGATTGTTCTTATTACGTAGCTGTATTTGTTCTTTAATATTTTCCATGAGCATTGATCTGCTGAGTTTGGGAGAACAATAACAGATCCTATTTATGATGAGGCATTTCCAGTTTTCCTCAAAACTGGAAAATCGAATCAGTAGAGGGTCATTTTATGCCTTTTCCCCACCCCCTTTTTAATGATAATAAATAATCAGCAGTCTATTAATTACAAAATTTCTTAATTCTGCTTTGAGCAACCCGAGCATGTTCACATATTGAAATTCTTGGTGTTACGGTAGGTCAAGTCATTAAGAAAAGCCTCTGGTCTTCCAGCTTGGTAACAAATGGCTTTTGTCTGATGCATAATGAATAGGAACTAATGATGTCTATGTAGCTCTTCCAGAGTTTTAAAGGCAAATCTATATTGGCCTACAGTTAACATGCAAATTCATCCAACAAGCAACACAAAATGTATTGTAGTAGTCATTCATTTTTTATCAACATTCAAGGAGATCTAGATACAGCACAACTCTCCTGTGTCAGGAACACATTAAAACATGGGCACAACTGAAGTCGGATCAGACCTGGTAAAATACCCCCTTGTGAATCAGCCTCTCGAGTCAGCCAGACTCCCCGCACGATACGTGAACAATAGCAATTAATACTGTGGAACGAAGTGAAGGACAGACAAGAGTTTGGTGTGCTAGCGTACAGTTTTCGAAACGGCAACAAACGAAACCAAACTTCTTGCAGCACTCTCTCTCCTCTCACTTAGTGAGCCTGGAATTGTCACAGTCTCTCTGAATCGTCAGTTTGGGGAACTAAGTTCAATGGTCGTAGCACTGAAATGACTCCTTGGAAGGGAAATTTGGCCACAAAGGGACATTCCATCTATTCTGAGGGAGGGAATGTCCCACCATGCAACAGATGATCTGCTACTATTCACCTTGAAAAATGGGATTTTTAGAAATGATTTCATTTTACCCCAAGGAGTAGTTTGGTGGTATACTGTGGCTTCAATTTAATTTTATTTTTGCTTTTTGGTTGGATAAATGAAACGTGCACCATCATCACCATCACTCCTAATTCTTCTTCCATCATATAAGACACTTGTTAAAATAAGAAAGTCTACTGAAGCTGACGGTGATCAAGATTCACTCAGTATTTAAAGTTCCTAAAGAATCGTTGGTTGTCTGAAAGGGATAAAAAAGTAGGAAAGGCTTTTGTTCAAACTCCTGCTAGGAAACAAGTATTACTTCAACTGATACAATGGCTACGTGACATCAAAGTACTATAAATTATCAAAACTATCGTACAGAAAAATTACAAATTCATTGCAAAATACATTACACTGCTACCATTAAGAAAAAAGTGCTTTTTTTGTTTTTTTCTTTTCTTTTTATTTTGCCAGAAAAGTATTCTTTCGAAATAGAAAATCCTACGCATTACCCTGCATGTGGCTAGGATATATCGTAACGGAGTTTGTATTGAGTCCTTCTGATTTGCTGGATGAAGGGCTGAAAAAATATAATGACTTAGTAAAGCCATGCTTCCAATGACCTCACCAGCTGTCAGTGGAGAGATGCCTGTTTAAGACACAAGAAGAGGCCCTGGTCTGTGAAACCCTGCTGGTCATCACACTGTCCCACCAATCAGCTGGTCTAGAATGCACAGGCTTTTTGCACTTGTCCATGGATACCTCATGTTCTCCTGAATGATTTCGTGTCTTCATGCCTTTCCACCTGCATGAAGCCTCTGCTCAGTGATGCCTGTATTGTCTCATGAGGGGAACGATGCACGACGGTGGACCTGCCAGTTTCAAGAATGGATGTCCGAGGAGTTCCTGGGCGGTGGCTCTTTGAGAGGGCTCCCTCACCAACATCAGGTCGAGGAAGCCCCGCAGTACAGAAGAAACCTGCCAAAACACAAAGATGTCACCCTGAGGTCTGACAGAGGAATAAATCCAACCTGAGTACCCCCACATGGTTCCCCGCATAGGGCCTTGCAGTTATTCGTTCAAACTCTAGAAAGCCACCTCAGAGGAAAAGAGGCTTTTTCTTAATGATCTCCAAGTTTGAAATAACAGAGTCCATGACAGCTCAGCTAAGGGTAAAAACTCATTTACTAAATGCAATCATAATGTTAGTAATAATGAAAACAAGAAAAAAAGACACCCAGGCCAGCTGACATTGTGTCAACTTCAATTCATGGTGACCTCATGTTTTTTCAGGGTAAAATTGCTCCATAGAGTTTTCAAAGGATGAATTCTCAATGGATTGCCAGGCACCTAGTGTGCCTCTTGGTGAACCCAGACATTATTAACCTTTTAGGCAAACTTATCAACTCTTTGCATGGCTTCGGGACTTCCAATCATGATAACAACAACTATTACAGGTGTTCACTACCTACATGCATGGCCATATACATGCTTCTGGGATGTGTAGGATAAATGGGATAGTTTTGTTTTTCTAATAACTGTAATCATCTAGGCTCCATGGAATCCCCTTTCTGGAGTGGAAGCAAACATCCTTACAGATATCTGACACAGGAAGGTTTTTTCCCCCTTTAATTATTTTTTTAAAATGAACTTTTCTCTCAGATAAACCTTACATACATTCAAGTTTGCATATAAGTATACAGATCAATCGACTTTTATATTTGTCTGTTTACTCTCAACCTTAGTAGAAATACCAAACATTCCTACCCTCCAGGAGGTAACCACAATACTTCCTGTTAAAAGTCATTACCACTCTGACTTCTAATAGCATCAATTAGTCTTGTCTGTTTTTACTTTATAAGAGTTGAATGGTTTTTCATTATGCTTGGAAGATTTTTTTATACTGTGGGAGAGTTTTCCTAAGCTTTTCCCTAATGAACTTTATAGTCTTTGATTTTACTCCTAGGTCCTTGATCCACCTTGAGTTGGTGTTCGTGGATGGTGTGACGTATGGGTCTTGCTTGAGTTTTCTACAGGTGGTTTTCCAATTTTGCAAACAAACACCATTTGTTTAAAAAGCTGTAATTTCCCCACTAACTGATTTCATCTCCTTGTCAAAATCATGTAAGCATAAATAGATGAGCTGATTTCTGGATTCTCAATTCTATTCCACAAAAAGGAACGTATGCTTAGACATTATACATATAACAACAGCTTAGAATAAGATGTACATTGCAAAGAGGACCGAAGAGGGGATATAATTGTGCAATAAATATTTTTTTAAAAGTGGGCTGGCGGATGGGGAAGGGAGGTCGAAGGGATTAAATATGCAACAATGAATGAATAAAAACCTAACTTTTCCATAAATTTTCATTAAAATCACAACAAAAATAAAAAAAAAATTTAAAAAGTGTTGAATGGTGTGAACTCTTCTCTGACTCATTTCTTTTGATAAACATTATGCTTGTGAGAGTCATTCCTGATATGTATGGCAAAGAGGATTTTTTTTTATTGTTGTAATCTCCATCTTTTTTTTGTTTTGTTTTCATTTTTTTTTTAAAATTTCTACTGTTTTGAGTCGCAAACGACTCGACGGCGCATAACAACAACAACTTTTTTGGAACCTTTACAGTTAAAATTGTCAAGAACTTTCTTGTGTATGGTTTTGAAGATCACTGACATTAATTTCTATTGGGGGGTGGATTTCTTTTCATACCAGTTTTTTATTTTCTAGTCACTTATTAGTAAAATATTGTATTTTGCCTCCTATTTAAAATTTATTCACCAGTAAGGGTCTAGGAATCCAGGTGGGGAGTGTTCTGAAGCAGCCTGACTCTACAGAGGTTTTGATTTCTGGTTCTGGTGAGACTTTGGACATTATTTACTGGCCTTTGGCTGTGAGTTGATTTTATTTGGCCTCCTATTTAAAAAGGCATTTATTTATTGGTTAGACATTCTTCTAAGTGGTATAGCACTGGTCTCTCCATTTGCTGTACAAAGGTAACTTGTGGTTGCTGTGATGCTAAACACCGTGACACTGATGTGTCAAATGTGATAATGGTTTACCCATGGTGGACAGTGAGTGTTTGGTGGAGCTCCCTGATTAAAACAAGCTTGGAAGCAGGAGTGGCATCCACTTCTGAAATAGTTTGCCTCTGGAAACCCTATGAACCTGGAGTTAAGATGAAAGTTATACAAGTGTTCAGGTCTTTTGTTCATAGGATTGTTATGAGTCATATATGACTCGACAGCACTTAACAACAACAACAACAACAACAACAACAACAACAACAACATAGTCCAGTCAAAATTTCAATCTTCTGTTTGGTTCAAGTAGTCTCTTCCTCTCCTCAGCCTCCCAAACATAGTCACACAACCTTTATGGGGGATTTTATTGGACCTGCCCTCCTACATTTAAGGCTGAGGGGAAAGGAGACCATCATTACCAACTATTTGCTCCCCTAAAGCAGCCTCACATCCTGTTCATTGCCACGATGCAGATGGGAGGATTTTGAGATATTGAGGGCAATGCTTACAGACCTGATTTTGCATAAATGACACCTGAGTAAATCTTCCAGGGAGTTGGCTACTCCCATAGCAGTGGTACTTGAATCTCTCTTTTTATTCCTTGCACTTGGCCTTTAGTAACTATCTTCAGCATGAAAGAGACACTTGCTGGTCTTTATATGCATTGTGCTAACCATGGCCTTCATTGCCTTGCATGATCTAGCCCCTGCCTACTTCTCTGACATCATACCTTACTCTTCAGCTCATGCTCACTCTAACCCAGCTTCATGGGCCTCCTTTCTTGCTGCAGAGCCTTTGTATTTGCTGTTCTTTTCCTGGGACATTCTTTTCCCAGATCGTTCCATGGTTTGCTTAGTTTCCATGGAAGTCCTTGCTCAGAAATCTCTTCTGAAGAAAGGTCTTACTTACACTTTAGCCCTCTCTAACTTCCAGCCTCCTCCTCTGTACGCTGTCATCATATCACAGAGTTTTATTTTCTTCATATGCTTACCACTCTGAATCTATTTTATTCATTCGATTGTTTATAGTTTATTATTCACCTCTCCAACAAGAATGCACTCTTGGGAGTCATGGAATATGATAGTGCTAGTATATGCAAGAGTTATTCAATGAATGAGTATTGTGTAGAGTGCCTGATTTATCATTCTAACCAATTCTAGGGAGCTCTGGTAGTGACAGGGAGTTGCATTACCAACCCCAAAGCACAAAGTTTGAATCCACCAGCTGCTCCGCAGAAAAAAAGCTGGGGAATCTCTCATGCACTTTATGGCCCCTGAAAACTTACTGGAAGATATCTCTGAGTCAGTTATCACTTGATGGTACAATAGCAACTAATTCCATGAGAGAGGAGTTATTCTTATCCTCATGTTATAGACACAGAATGTCACAGTCACAGAGGAAACGGCCTGACCAGTGAATTAAACGAAGAGCAGAGATTTTAATCCGAGTGATTCTGATTCTAAATTCCATGCCTGTAAACGAGCATCTACTGCCTGGATGAAAGAGTTCAGGGGTTTTTATTTTACTTTTGATCTTAATGAAAGTTTACGGAGACTTTGGATTTCCATTCATTCATTGTTGCATTTTTCTCCCTGCCCACCCCTCCCCCTCAAAGAGCTCTTCTCTTTGAAAAGTAAAAGAAACATTCTTTCATTGTTATACAATCCCTCCCCCCAAATACACTCCACTATGCTGCCTTCATTCTGGACTCCTGTCACGACAAAAATACCTAATCATATATCCTTTTTAAACAGTTCTCTCCCTCATCTGTTTCAATGCAGTATACATTATTTATCCCCTATTTCTTAGTCTCCTCCCAACCCAATGTCACTCCCTTTGTACAAAAGTGGTACTATGCAGTATTTGTCCTTTTGTGACTGAGATGTTTCAATCAGTATAATGTCCTCCAGGGTCATCCATTTGTATAGCATTTCATGAGTTCCTTATTTTTCATGCAGCATAATATTCCACTGTATGAATATAACAGAGCTTCTATAGCTTTAAGAGAGATGCAAATCAAAACAACTATGAGTTATCATCTCACCCCAATAAGAATAGAAAAATTTAACAGAACAGCAAACATAAAATGCTGGCGAGATTGTGGAGAAACTGGAACCCTTATTCACTGTTGGTGGGAGTGTAAAATGGTGTAACCACTATGGAAAGCAGTGTGGTGTTTTCTCAAAAAGTTGTAAATAGAAATACCATTTGACAAGCAATTCCACTACAGGAATATACCGTAAAGAAATCATAACCACTACTCAAGCAGATATATGCTCACCATGTTTATTGCATCTTTGTTCACATTAGCAAAGAGCTAGAAGCAACCCAAGTTCCCATCAACAACGAGTTCCATTTTTAAAAACCCTAAATGGCAAATTCTAGGTCTACTCTGAACTTCAGCAAGAGATACCACTTCTCACCTTGTGCAGGTCTTTCACTCGTGGAGGTAAACTGTCCCGGATCCTCTGCATGGCCTGGAGTGGAGGCTCATTGAAGTAAGGAGGCTCGCCGTCAATCATTTCTATCACCATGATCCCAAGTGACCAAATATCCACCTGTCAGGGATACCCCAGCGATTATCTCAGGTTGGAGAACAGACTGAAGTGGAACCCAAGAGGCTCCAAACTAATTGTGGTATCTGTGACCTCTCAAAATTACAATACAGGTCTACAGGCTGAATGGTTGGCTTCGAGAGTTTTTTATAATAGTCTTGTTTTTTAAAGATAGTATCAAGGAAGTCTACACTAATTTGGGATTAAGTGTATATCTTCATATTCTGAAATGTAGAAACTTGAGTTTTTACTCATCAGCTTCTCTAGTTAACTGTCATGAGTAGTTGTGAAGAAAACTCTAAAGTTGTTTTATTTTTAATTATTATTAATGCAGAGAAGAAAGTTGCACTTAAACCATAAGAAAGCAGGGAGAGTTGGGTTTTCCCCTCCATGTATTCATAACAAGATGTAAGGAGCTGGAGTGGAGAACAGATAACAATTCTTTCATTAATTTGATTTTTAAAATAGTCCCATTACCCCCTCTTCGAGGTTCTATCCTTTGTGTTTTATCATTTAAAAGCAGCGTGCACAAGCCTTTGCTTTATAAAACCATTTTGAAGGACTGGAGAAAAGAAAAAAGAAGAGATGACAAGTCATTCTTTGTGGATGAAAAATGGGAGGCCTGAATAATGTGAAGCCGAAGCCGTAGCTGTGCTATAAATCTCCAGGTGCAGTCATTTCCTGTTCTAGCCTCATCACACCTCTTATCTGTTGGCTGCATTGCTGTTGTAAACCTTCAATGACCTTCTCTGAGAATTTATGCTCTTGGAACCACAGTGAGAGAAGCGAGTTAAGCACTCATCCAAGGTCAAGCAAACCTGGAAAAGAGAGCTGAGCCCTTTATTTACGCTGATATCCTTCGGTCCTTGATTGATGTTTTCTACTATTCTCCTCTCTTAGCCTCGCCTTCTGCATGGCAACACCATATATGCACATTCACAGTGAACATGTATATGTATTTGTGTGTTTCAGAGATTTTACTCACACCATTCCCACCCCTACTCCCACACTACCGCCCGGGGAGCTCTGGTGGTCTAGTGCAAGAAGCTGCGCTGCAATCCTAAAGAAATGGGGTTCGAATACACACTGCTTCATGGGAGAAGGATGAGCCATCTCCACCAGCGAGATTTTACTGCCTCTGAAAACCCGCTGGAGGGTCAGCTATGTGTTGGTTCTGACGTGATGGCACGCACCAACTACAACATTCCCACCATAGACTCTTTCCGCCAATTTCTCTCTATGACTTCATTTTCACAAACTCTACTCCTTAATAGGAATGATTTTTTTCCCAGAGAAAATGGAAACTGTGTCATGTTTTTAAATATGTTGTAGCATTTATAGATATAAGGAAGAAATAAGCACCTGGCTTGTCTCAACTTGTCATTTAAGTATGATTTCTACTTTCTGGATCTTTCTCCAACTCTCTAGCTTTCCTGTGCATCACCCTGCCTGGTCACCTGTGCATCTCTGACCACTTTCCCTGCCTTACGTTTTTTGCCTCTCTCCTACTGAGGGAGCGCTCATGGCTTAGCAGGAAGGAGCAGCTCTGTCAATCCAAAGGCACAGGATTCGAATCCGCCAGCTGCTCTGAGGGAGAAAGATAGGCAATCTCTTCCCACGCAATTTACTGCCTCTGAAAACCTGCCAGCGGTTCCCCTATGAGTTGGTTCTGACTCAGTGGTGCATAACAACAACTCCACTACTGAGAGATTAGTATTTGAAGGACACAGGACCAGTACTTATGCATACAGCTCTGTTCACTGTAAACCTCAATAAATAACTCCATGAATAAATGTTGTGAAAATATCCCCAGTGGTAGCCAGTCTATCTTCTGCGACCAGCCACTCTGATTCAGGCTAGTGAGTGGGGATGAAGTGTGAGGGTTGGAAGTTCATCACCTAGATCTCCGGTGGTTCACGGCTATCTCAAACCCACTGCTTTCTGGAGTCTGTGCTAGGTGCTGTCTCTCCCAGCAGTAACTGTTACCTCCTTACCTCTGTCCCATAAGGCAGTCTAGAAATCACCTCAGGTGCCATCCAGTATGGAGTTCCAACCAGCGATTTCCTCTTTGGCACTTCTTTGGAAACTTGAGCACAGAAACCAAAGTCAGATAACTTTATCTGAAAAGGGAAGACATACAACAATACAATAACTTTACAATACTGTCCACACGGTATACAAACACATACATGGAAAGTTGCAAAAACAAGGCAAAAGAGTCTCATTAACTGACTTTGGAATGATCAGAGGAGGGATAGTCATACCTTTTGGGTGAAAAGGCACAATCCGTTTTAAAGGAAGAATTTCACATGATCAACCAAAGTTTACTTGCAAATGTTTCAATTCCTGTTGCTTGCATATGTTTTAATAATTGCCAACTTTTCCCAAGAACATGGAAACAGCCAAAATGTCCAACCACAAATGAATGGGTTGAGAAGTTATGGTACATTCACAAAATGGAATATTTTGCAGCACGCAGGAGCAATAACTTTGTAAATTATTACCTAACTTGAGAGGGACTGGAGAGCATTATGTTGAGTGAACTAACTCAGTCCCACAAGGATAAATATTGTATAAAACCGTTACTAAAAAAACTCAAAAAAACAAAAAAAAAACACCGTTACTGTAGAATGAGTATAAGGGTCCAAGGGAGGTGGGAGAGGCTGGAAGCAGAGGGATGTGGATGTGTGGGGGTGGGAGGGATTAATCATTGTGTTGTACAGTTTGATGGGGGGGGAGTAAAAGAAATCGAAAGAATTTGTTCAATTTTGTATTTGAGTTTTGTAAATAAAATAGTAGAAAAAAATTGCTAACTTTTAATATGCCGTTGTTGTGTATAATCAAGTCACAACCAACCCATAGCTGACCCTCTGGCGGGTTTTCAGAGGCAGTAAATATCACAGCAGGAGATTGCCCATCCTTCTCCCACAGAGCAGCTGGTGGATTTGAACTGTGTGCCTTTGGGATTGCAGTGCAGTTTATAAATCATATATGTTTTTTTAGTCATACCCATTGTGTTTATAATATTAATGATTAGTTAATTTCAAGGTATGAAAAGTATATTGTATAGTATCTTTCCCTTCACCCAATCTATTTATTTTTACTCCCCTCCCCCTCCCTTTCTGTCCCTAGTAAGTATCTGAAATGAATTCTGAGTGTGAAACCTTTCTTTATCTTCTTTTTAATGTCTGTAAATATGATTTATCTCCTTGTCTCATTTCATGACTAAACCTTCCAATACAATGCTGAATAGAAGTGGTAACAATATTCCTATTTTCTTTATAATTACAAAGGAAAATATTTTTATGTTTCACCATTAAGTCTGCTGTTAGGGACCTCTCCAAAGTACTGAAGAGCAATGGTGTCTCTCTGGAGACCAAAGTGCGTCTGATACAGGCCATGGTCTTCACAGTCACTTGTTATGTATTAGAGAGTTGGACAATGACCAAGGAGGATAGAAGGAGAATTGATGCCTTTGAGCTGTGGTGCTGGAGAAGAGTATTGAGAATACCATGGAATGCTAGGAAAACAAACAGATTTGTCCTGGAAAGGGTTAAACTGGGTGGCTCCTTGAAGGCAAGGATTCTGAGGCTCCGTCTAACATACTTTGGACATGTTGTGAGGAGAGACCAGTCCTTGGAGAGGGACATCATGCTTGGGAGGGTGGAGGAACAGCACAGGAGGGGAAGGCCCTCTATGAGGTGGATTGATTCAGTGACTGGGATAATTGGGATGGGAGTGTCAGAGACAGTGCGATTGGCACAGGACAGAGCAGAGTTTAGGGCTGTTGTACATAGGGTCGCTATGAGTCGCAAGTGACTCGACGGCATATAACAACAACAACAACGACCATTAGGTATGAAATTTGTTATAGCTTTTTTTTTTTAAAGAAGAAAACATTTCTTTTATACTGGTGTACTTACAAAGTTTGCATACACTGTTTTACATACCAGATCTTTCCCATTTCCTTTACCCACCCTTCTACTCATTAAATTGTGCAGTCATGACTAAGCCCATCCCGCCCCCTGCCCATCTTCATCCCTCCTTAGCTTTTTAATAATAATGGTTTTATACATTTGTGACTGACCTCTGACCTATTTTGCTTAGCATAAAGTCCCCTAGATGCATTCATGTAATGCAGTGTTCTGTGATTCTTTTTTTTTTTAATGTTGCTTATATCTTTTATAAAATTATGAAACAAAGAGACAGGAAACATACAGACGAAATATACTCCAAACAACAAATGTATGTAAGCAAGCATTTACAATTTTAGTATTACATGACATGTTATTTGACAGTAAATAAATTTCTGCTACGGAGAAGCAACGATGCCAGTCTAGAGACTAAGGTGTGCCTTTTCTAGGCCATGGTCTTTGCAATTACTCGCTATGCATCAGAGAACTGGACCATGACTAAGGATGACCAAAGAAGAATTGATGCTTTTGAGTTGTGGTGCTGGAGAAGAGCATTGAACAGACTATGGACTGCCAAGAAAACAAATAGGTCTGTCTTGGAAAGGGTGAAACCAAGTTTCTCCTTGGAGGCCAGGATTTTGAAGCTCCGTCTCATATACTTTGGTCATGTGGCCAGGAGGGACCAGTCCTTGGAGAAGGACATCATGCTTGGAAGGGTGGAGAGACAGTGCAGGAGGGGAAGACCCTGGATGAGATGGATTGATAAAGAAACTGGGGAAATGGGGGTAGGTGTGTTGGAGTCTGTGAGACTCACTCAGGATAGCGTAGGGCTCAGAGTTGTTGTACGTAGGGTTGCTATGAGCCACAGGCGACTTGATGGCACATAATAACATCAATATGATTTTGGTACAAACTACTGCAGTTTGGTTTCTTTTTGTTCTACACACTTAAATTTTGATGTATTGTGAGATAATTCAAACAACCAACTTTTCTTCTATGTTTGAAATACTGCAAATGACCATTATTGTATGATACTAATTTTAGTACTGATTCCCCATCTTTGTGTTTTCTCCTTCGCTCATGATGAATGAACTTGCCAGTGTGAAGTAAAAATGCAAGTAGAAATATGACAGAGAGTGGGTGTCAGCTCTTAGTAAGCAGGTGTTTAGAATCGTGATGATTCTGTTTATAAGTGTATTATTATTACTTGTTGTTGTTAGTGCTGTAGAGTTGACTAAAAACTTCCCCCGTCTTGCGCCGTCCACAAGATCTCTGTCAGGCTCCAGATCACTGATACAGTCACTACGTCAATCCATTTTGGTGAGGCTTTTCCTCTCTTTCTCTGATCCTCCACATTTCCCAGCATGATGTCTTTTCCTGAGGACTGACTCCTTCTGACAACATGCCCAATGCATATGAGATCAAGTTTCACCATCGTTGACTCCAACATAGACTTATTTGTTCTTTTGGCAGTCCGAGGGATATTCAGTCTTCTTCACCAATATCACAATTCAAAGGCATTGATTCTTTTTCTATCATGCTTACAACTTTCAGAAGCATAAGAGGCAACTGAAAATACTGTATGAGGGGCACCCTAGTCTTTAAAATGATACCCTTGCTCAAGAGGTCCTGGAGAGCAGTTTTTCCCCAATGCAACATGTCTTTTGATTTCTTGACTCCTGTTACCATGACTGTGATAATGGATCAAATAAAAATGAAATTATATTATTTAGACTAGCCTAAAAATGCTGACAGATTATCATATTTCTTGCACAGCACTCATATTCTTTTAAGAACATAATAAAGTATGAATCCCAGGGTTCAGCTTTATTTTATGAAGACCTGGTGTTAACTTTAAGTGACTTCATTCAAGATCACTGTTCTTGGTGATAACAGAAAACAGAAGAATATAATTAGGCAATGGTTCAACATGACCATTTAATATTAAATCTCTCTGCTCCTTAATGGTATGTAGGCATTGGTGGCTGGTGGTTGAACTCTGGCCTCCCGCACTGGAGGTCTGGGGTTGATTCCTGGCTGATGCACTTTTTGGGCAGCTACCTCTGCTGTAGGCTTGTGCATTGCCATGGTGTTGAAGAGGCTTCAGGGAGCCACTAGACTAGGAAGAATAGCCTGGAGATCTACTTCTAAAAGCCAGCCAGTGAAACCCTAAAATCACAGTCTGATTATAGAATGGGTGCTAGGGAAGGTGCCAGAGCAGATAGGGTCCCATTCAATTGTGATGGCATCTCCATGACTCAGTGATGGCTAACAACAACAACAATAACAATAACAACACCAATAATATATAGAGCAATGTCCTAGGCTTCAAAGCATGCATTCTCTCTTGATCCCTTCATAACCCTTTAAATTTCCTTTCTCAGCATTTCTCTCTAATTCTAACTCTTGCTTTCTCTTTAAATATGAGGGCTTCCTTGTGCTCTGGTCTCAATTTTTACCCCTTCTAACAGATATGTCTTAGAGAGGGTGCAGCTGGAGTGCTCTTTGGAGGCAAGACTGATGAGGCGTCACCTCACATCTTTGGGCATGCTGTTAGGAGCACTATTCCTTGGAGAGGGACATGAGGCTGGGAAGGGTGGAGGGTCAGCGAAGGAGAGGAAGACACTCGACCAGGTGGATTAACATGGTGACTTCTGCAATGGGCTCTTGTGTGTCAGGAAGTGAAGGATGACACAGGATAGGACTGGGTTCAGATTTTTTTGTTCATAGGGTTCCTATGAGTCATACTTGACTGGAAGGCACCTAACAACAACAGCAACAGCAACAGTAACAATAACAATACACTCTTGCCAGGTCCTTATTACCTTGTGATGCTCATTCAGATATTTCTCTTTCATTCAAGATCAATATTTTCAACTGGTATCTGTTTCCATTTGGTGGATAAAAAGTACTTTCAGTCAAACATTGAATATTCTCCCTCTGCTGCAGACCACACCCTCATTTGTCTGTCTGGTTCTTAGTTAATGGCACCATCATCCACCCACCTCCTCAAGCTGAACTGTGAAGGGCTCATACGTCCATGATTCCTCTAGCTCAACCCAAACATTTTGGGTTTGAGTTTTTAAAAAAATTTATTTCTGTAGCTTTGTAACCTATAGTAATGACTAGTTATAAACTGTTTTTCATAAATCAAGGCTATTGAGTGAATGGATAAGCTTTAATCATAAGGCATGAAAGAAACCTCT